TGAGCCTTACCCAAATTGCACTTAACACCTTTTAACAAAAACTTAATCGGCCATTGTATCAAGCGGTCTCTTAACCCATTCAACTTGTGAATTACGGATATAACATTCAAACTGTAAGCAAATCTCTTTACATCACATTACATTACATTACATTACATTACACCCGAATTTCTAAAGCGCACAAATACCAAGGTTCCTAGTACGTTGCCAAAGTTTTGAGAATTATAATCATTAAATAAGTTTTAAGATTTTTCTTAAAAAATTCAACGGTTTTGGATAGGTTAAGTTTAATTGGCAGTGAGTTCCAGAGGTAAGGTGATGCGTGATGAAATGTTTGAAGGAATAGTCTGGGACACTGAGGAGGTTTTGAGAATGTGATCCGAGAGAGCGAGATGGTGTATAAATGTCAATCAAGTCTATATTATGTAACTTGGAGGTGTACCATTCAAGGCTTTATATGTTTGCAAGAGGATTTTATAAATGATACGTTGTTTAGCAGCCTGTGCAAATTTTCCAGAACTGGAGTTATAAGTTCATACTTTCTGCTTGAATTAAAGATATTGTTTAATTTTTCCAAGTTTGTGAATTTGAAGGATGAAGATTAAACTGCTGAAATTTGTGGTTGGAAAGTGAGGTTTGAATCAAGCACTACTCCAAGTTTCTTTGCCTTCTGTGATATTGCAATAATTTCTCCAGCTACATTTATACATTGTGTTTTAGACCCTTTTAAGTGCTGTTTGGTACCGATGAACAGAACTTTATAACTGTCGAAAATTAGCCAATAATGCACACTTTCTGTTTCCTCTTGGTTAAGAATGAATGGAACCATTAGAAAAAATGCATCCCAACGAGAAATGCAAGTTGAATTATATGCTGAGTTACCGGAATCGATTGATATTTATTCGTCTACAAAAATCCATGTAAGTTTTGTGTCTTATATGTACCAATGGCCAACCCTTCGCCTCATATTCTGGATACAAATTGTTCTAGGAAAGAGATATTACACCACCTATGAATATAAAAATTAAGAGACTTGATTTGAAGAAAGGTTCATGTAAGCGCGATGCAGCATCATCAATGGTATTCTCGCTATGTGCACAGCCCTTAATTCAAAGTTATAACAACTTGGAGAACACGCAAACACATCATTAAAAGTTTGTTTTTAGAAGATCCCTTATTAAGGATGCATTTGGTTGTCATATTATTATCCGTAGCAACTACAACAGTTTTATTTGTCCACAATGGAGCCCATCGGGACTGACAGGACAACAGCAAGCGTCTCTTTCACATTTATATCTTCCCGTGATAGTCATTCTTCCGCCTGCACCGGAATCGTCAGTTTGCAATGAGGTAATAGGATTGCGATCGAAGAATTTCATAGTTCCATGAAATTAAGTCCCACCAAGATGTATTATCCAAATGAAATTCTTCAGATAACTGAAATTTGCAGTTCTTATTACAGAAGTAGTCATATCGATCACTCGTCGTAAGAAATCCCTACCACCTTTAACATGGCCAGTTGAGCTTTCCATATGAAGTGATTGAATTTGTTTTAAACTGGCGCGTTTACACCCTTGAAAATTCAATAATACTGTCAAAAATTCAACGTGGCATTAACAAAGTCCGTTGCACGATTGTCGTTGGTAATGCAAGTTTAATACAAGTAACGTTGTATCTTAATTTCATTATAAAGCATACTGCAGAACTGAGCTTTTAAAAAATCTTTGGGTTTCGCGCATGCCGGCAGGGTAATTTGGCATCATACAGATATACAGGCTCTTTGGTTCCGGTAAAAATCTATTTAAGTCCAGTTAAAGAATATTCAAAAGGGTGACATCGTATTGAGCGATATGAACTTTTGAGGTCCACCTTGGCTAAAAACAGTTTGGAGTAATAATTTAAAGAGCATGTTTAGGTCATTTGTATGAGCAGTTGGTGTCTGAGGTGAATGAGTTTAATAAATTTCCCACTGCTTGTCTCGCATATGTATGAGACGCACATGACCGTTTGGTTTCGGTATGGCCCCCAGCCAACTAATTATTGTAGGCTTAATTACCATTTTCTGTTCGAATGTTCAATAGTTGTTGAAGTGACATTAATTCTGTATCTTCACTTTGATCTTCGGTATTATCTTCAGCAAGGGGCCCATTTAGACACGAGCTGTTAACGTGTGGTATAATATAATGTTGCTGAATTGACCCAATACTGTACTCGTTGACATCGCTGTCTTGACGCCCTGACGTCGAGGCCTTCGTTAATGACTTACTTGTAGCAGGATCACTGTTTCAATCACCGTTTCTCCATCTTAAATAGAAGAATTTTCGTCCTCCATTTCATTATTGATTGTCTCCAAAATGTCTTTGATTTTCCCACTTGCTGTATTTCTGCGAGTTTTAACATTAGACGTGTTCTTCTCGATTTTCAAGCGACTTTACAAACAAGCTGCTGGGCAATATGGAGGAAGCGTGAGTTGCTGCGAACTTTGAGCTAAGGTTAAGGTGAATGACACATCATCTAAAAGTAGATTTACTACTACATGTAAATCGTTCATTCAAATAACTCTGGCTCAATTTCCCTGATTGTCAGACCAAAATCTGAAGAAATGTTCCCCTTAATATATTGACCAAATATTGCAGTTATGGTATAGGACCGCAGATCCTTAGTTAATAAATATCCAAGGTTAAGACCCTAACAACTGTTGATAGGTAGATGACAAGTTAACGTCAGCTTCAACCTAACTGGTTTCATAAGCAATATTTTTAATTTGCAATAAGTTGAAGGACATATATTAGCAATAATTTAACCTTTATATTCCATTCTACAGAGGTTTCATGGTATGTATGTAGCCTATACAAAACTAATTTCGTACTAACCTAATTTCGTGCATCTCCTGAAATGATCAATAATTGACATGTGCGGCCTCGCGTGACCTCCGCATTTGCATGTTTTCATAAATATGGGTTATCCTCTACAACGTCAGTCTGCAGAATTTTTTCAAAGCAATGTCAAATTTATTATCTATTTCTAACGTATACAAAATGGCGGATTTAAGATATTACCAAATGCCATTTCTTATCGGCCAAATTTCCTTAAAATCCTAAGCTGTAATTGGAGTTCCAAGTAGGTAGGTAGGTAGGTAGGTAGGTAGTTGACAAGTTAACGTCATGCGGATGCTGATATCGCATATCGCATAACTAGGTAGTTGTTGGTAGTCGTAGTAGTTGGTAGATGGATTGGGTCAAATTGAATGATTCTGTGTTGTTGGTTGATGTTGTTGATTCTTCGTTAGGTCTGGTCGGGTCGAATGACATGGCGGTGAAACTCGGCCCTGGATGGTGTGGCGTGAGTTACTCGATCTCCTTCATTCTTCCAAACTCGTTCTGATCATGGTATTTCTTGTTGATTGGTAGTCGAATGGTAGTCGTTGGTTTGGTTTGGTTAGGTTAGATTATCTGTTATCTGTTGGAAAACTAGGAGACCTGAAAAAAAAGAAAAAAAAAAGAAAGTGAGAAAAGTGGAAGGAAAAAAATAAAAGGGGGGGGGGGGGAGCTTTCAACAAATGGGGATGTTCTCTGATGTTTCTGCAATGAAACTTGTTCCAAAATGTTGGCCATATTCTTATGTTGTTTCAATGGATTTTAGCAATAAATTACCCTTACGTTTTACTTATCTTATTTTGACAGTCAGTATTTTTTTTCAAATCATTGTTCTACGAAATAATTGTCACTAGTTATAATGAATTGATATTAAAGATAAATACTAAGAAATGATAATTATACCACTGGATACCCATACAAGGTGTACACGAAAATATGAAATATGGGTCAAAGTGGGAGATTCATAAAGAAAATCGAAACAAACTAACTTTAATTATTTTATTGAATATGTGAAGAAACATCTCTGACATAAAATTTTTTTTTTTTTCGTTTTTTGATTTTGACGAAGTTTGGTGTTGAATTCTTATATACACGAATATAGGTTACATAACTGTATATGTACTATTGTTAGTGTTTGGGGATTAAGACTCTACAATTTTTTGTTTTTAGGTTATAACTGTCCTAACTCTATTAGGAATTACTACAATAGCATTTGGGAAAAAAACATATTCACCGTTTCTTTTCTAAAGAGAAAATATCACAGTGGAATAAAAACCATTAGGATTATTAAAACAGACAATAATTTCTTCATGTATTGTAATTTAGAGAGGAATGTTTTACACCAAATTCCCATTATAATTTCGTCTATGAAACTGAAGTAAGATATATGAAACATGTGGGAATGTAAAATACAATGCATTGCAGATGCAATATTCAATGTAAAATATTGTAAACAATTTGATACCATATATAAGTTTGAAGACGAAAGACATAATGTCCCCGTTGTATATATGTTCATATGAAAAAATGTTCATTAATCAGCAATATGAATATATGAAATAATCACCCCACAGTCAGCCTCGGTCAACGAAGTCTCTAGACAAATATTGAGATTGTTATCTTATATTTTCTGTCTCCTATAGTCGTGATAGAGAGGCAGGTGGCATGCTATAAATATTGATAATGAGAAAGAAAGCACATCTTCCTGGTAAACGAATAAAACATACGATGCAGTTATATTTTTTAAGAATTGAAAAACATTGTTAGGGTTTGAAGAAAGAAAAAAAGACTCCTGTTGCAAAGCTGTGTACCGTTTGTCGATTCAGAAACTTATCTGTTTTACATTTGTAAGGGGTGGGGAAGGAGGAATGATACAGATAATCATGACGTCCAGATCAACGTTCCTTATGAAACCACAAACACGACTCGAAATATATAATTTTAATGAAAGATGTGGCAGATATTTTCTCTTGGTATATAAGCCCGGCGCAGAAGTTTTGCTCACAACGAAGGAGTTTTGAAATCATCAGCTTGGCGTTAACAAAGATTTTGTTTACAGTGTTTGGATCGTATGGATTTTTTTTATTGAGTTAACATAAAATAACGCTTTATCTTGTATCTTTTCAGATGATAAGAATGATGATAACAGTGGTTGTTTCTTATGCTTTATGCTGGTTTCCAATACATACAGTAACCATAGCAGGCGACCATGACCAGAGTATTTACAACTACCCCCACATGCCAGTATTATGGATGTTATTCCAATGGCTCGCTATGAGCAACAGTTGTTATAATCCCATCATCTATATCTGGATGAGCCCAAAATTTCGAGCAGGACTCAAAATGTCATTTGAACGATGTAAACGCAGGCGTAGCCTTCAACAACAGTCGTCGGACGATCATTTAAATATCAAACCATGTGGACGAGTAGAAAAGAAAAATGTTTATTGTTGTTTAATAGAAGACAAAAGACGGAAATTTCATGATGGTTACACTCCTTATAGGATTAACCATTTCTCATATCCACCACAAAAACTCATGCCAATTGATAGACTTCGCATGTCAGGGAGCATTCATAGCGATACGTGACGGCGTTCTATTTGTCAATTGACCAGAGAATCTGAGTGTTAACTGCTGTGATTTGTCAACAATGAAAATTTGTCCTTTGCTCAATCAATATTACGTGTAAGAGTGAAATTATATGTGGAAAAAGTATTGGAAAAAAATAATTTGACACCACATACACCTGGGTAGTATGCCAGTAATTATTCATTGTGTAATACTGGATATCCGCATTTTGTATTCCTATTTGTTCGGACTGAACAAATAAATTTAAATGCAACTAGTTAAAAGCGCAGATAAGCGAATGTGTGCAATTATGAAACGGATGGTTCCGACAATCTCCCCAAGTGACATGTATATAGATCTATCGGCGAGATCAATGCTCAATATTTTTGTTTGTTTAATAGAGACCAAATTTCAGAAACAATGTCTGTGTTCTGTGATATTTAAAGGAGCCAAGATATTTCAACTGTTTTTCTTTTGTCAACGACACATGTCAACACTACATGGCGGAAATGCCACCCTTTAAGTGCATGGTTCTTTATTTTCGGGTGTTGATTTGGGCCTTGCATATATGTAAATAGTGTGAAAATCCCATAATTCCCTCAAATATACCTCAAACAAAAAATTTCACTTTTTTTTATTTCCGTCACAAGCTTATCTTCTCTCAATTTGGATATCCGTCCGTCTTGTTGATGTCTGTGACATCCAGACATTTTTCTTCGCAGCTGTGCATAGATGTAAGGGACTGCGACCATTGTGTTATCAACCGTTCATCAAAATGGGGAGTCTTGAAAAACGCGCGTCGTCGTCAAACTTTCCAACACAGATAATTATTGATATACATGGCTAAGAAGGCTCAAATTTCAACTGTTAGTCGCAAATACCATCACAGCTGAACATTTTTCTTTTCTGAGACTAAGGCACAATTGACCTCCGAAAATGGCGAACCATGCGTTTTAACATAATAATTTACTACTTATAACCAAGAGAACAGAGCTGCATTTGCAAACAAATTCTAGACATCTTCGTATTTATTTCTTTTAGCTTTAAACTTCAATATATGTAGTAGGACGTAAAACTCCATTTTAAACTTCAATACAATCTGAAGTCTTCCTAGTCATGTAAGATATCCTTCTATAAAACTTTAATAAACTGATTTGAATCGTTGTCATATTTAGAAATCTTGTTTTGGAATTATTTTATAGTTTTGAAATTATCTTTTAGAATATTTTTTTCATGTGAATTCTTTGATTTAAAATGATACATTGTTTCTGATTAAACGCAATTCCTACTGCAGCAAGTCTGTAAATATGTCAATGAGAATATCTTTCTACTGAGCATAAAACTAGTTCGGTCTACTGAATCTTTTTTCCCTTATCTAATTATCAAGGCGCGGTGGCTCCAAATTGGCTGGAGGGACAGAAATCGTTTTGGCGCCCCCTAGGAAACTTCTGTACAATCCAATATAAATAAAACATTTAAACACATGTTAGTCAATAATGCCAAACGCGAAAAAGGGCCCTTGCCAATTTGTTCATCGTAGTAACCAGCAAATCTGCCGCTTATATGTCATCAGCAGCAGTCCCTCTTATCGGTCTGCGCAACGAAGGGTAAATATACCAAGTACTAACGATCCGAGGCGCAAACGAAACCCAAAATCCAAAAAAAAAAAACATATTGGCGAAACAGTCATAAATGAGGAAGTATTTCATTATGAAAAGTGGTATCAGGTGTCTAGAAGCATACCCTGTCTGGCGCCACACCGGTCATAACTGCGTAGGAAGTATTCGAGATTTGACTCGTTTCATGGCAGAAAAGGTGTAATCAGCTGTCGAAGAGCTTCCATGTAACTAGTTTGCTAGTTTAAATGACTTAAATCACTTCAGTTTAAATCACTTAAATCATAATAAGAGAGGGACACTACTGTGCCAATTGCGAACTTTTGTTGACAAGTGTTAGAAGAGGGGTTTTGGCGCCCCTTTTTTAGAAATGTCTGTGTGCGGAGGGTCTATCGATTTCAATACTCTCAGGTTCATCTGCATCAAAATGTTGGCCAATTGACAAATTTTTACTATATCTTTGGAAATGCTCCTGCAAAATTCAAAAATTCGACTGCACAGCGTACCAAAATCAAAGTCATTTTTCAGACATAATGCTTCCAGCTTTGGCCATAAATGTTCTGTTGTAAAACATGAAATTCGGCAGATTTCTGAAAAATTTATTTAGTTTTTATAACATTTTGAATATCTTAAATCATAATAAATAATAGAGGGGCGCTGCTGTGCCAATTGCTGACTTTTGCTGACAATTGTTAAAAGAGGGTTTTTGGCGCCCACTGAAGACATGGGGGCCAAATACGCTAATTAATTGAGTCGCACATACCGCCAATAATATCTTCGAGAATGAAAGAACAGCAATGAAATAAAAGAACGTTATCACAACTTACCTGCGAATATTCACCTTTTGAACATGGGAAAATTTTATAACATTGTGAATACCACTATAAGAGGCGGACTTTTACTGACACATTACCATCTTGAAATGCCGATGACTGACTTGAGGGCATTTGAAAAACCGCGTGCTCGGATAAAATTCATTTTAGGAATCAAAATAATAATAATTTAAATAATAATAGCAATTTCCCCTAATCATGCAAAGAATTCTCATTTCTCGAGAAGATCTATAGGATATTGTTGAAACGAAACTATACTCTACTTATTTGGATTCAGTTCTAGTCTTCAGATTACACAAATTGGTTAAAATGGAAACTCACCTTCGGCCCATGATAACACCTGCTGTTGATGCTTTATCTTCTTTTAATCTCCACCTCTTCCGCCTGCAGGTAATTAGTGGGTGGCATGACATTCAATTAATACGGGTTTACGTTTAAGTCAAATCTCAATTAGATGCTTACTAACTTAATCCTCGAGATTAATTCCTCTTCCCACCTAACACTCTACAGGACAAGCAATCCAGCTATAATAGATCTACTGGGAACGAGTAAAAGATGACCCTGGATAATGGCAGAGAAATGATGAGTCGACATTTTAACTTTCAAACGCGGATAATTTTGGACAGACATGGGTGTGAAGGCCCAAATTTTGACGGTGATCTGTGAACTCTTATTGGCTTTGTTTACTGTTGATCTCAAATGCAACTTGTAAGCCTAATATTATAGAAACGTCTCTTTTTAGTGCGTTATTTGTAGTCTGATGTTTTTAAAAGTATTATCATAATTATCTGTCCCTAACCGGGTGTAATTATTGAGCCAATCAGAGGAAAACTAGAAAATTCCGGAAAGGATGAAAAAGAAACAAGAAAGATTTATAAGAATAGAAGGTATACAAACACCGTATTGCAAAAATTAACAATTTATTCCTTACGTAAATTACTGTCATTATGTATTGGGACTCTCACGGTGTAATACCTAAGACTTTATGTGGCCTATGACATGTGCGCGATGGAGGTCTACTGGATAAGCCGTTACGCATGAGTGACTTTTTATATGTACAGAACTAGTTTTTTTTATACCATGATTTATCCTGTAATGTTATATTTACAGTCAATAGTCTGTTCGTATGTTCGAATATTCATCTGTTCGTAGTTTAGTAATGGTGATGACTGGTATTGATGTTTGTGGAAGAAAAAAAACCTCATCAGTATTAGTAGTTTTCATTCATTTTAAGCTAGACCTAGAACAAGAGATCTAGAACAACGCATTTGACGCCACCCTTTAAACTGTACTATCGCTGCATATTAGACCCCAAGACGTGTGGCATGCAATACCAACACTTACAATTCAAACGTTTCTGAGACTAAAGTATGATTGGTCAAACGATTGGCCGATTTGCCCCTTTAATATATCATGACTCCAACATTTGTTATTTGCCCTCATTAACAATACGGCAGATGCTGTCTAGTTCTTTTAAATGTATGCTGATTCTTTCTAGAACATCAGACTTCCTATATTTTGCATTAAGCTTCATGTAAAACTACATCAAGATTCTGGATATGCAATACATTATTCAAATACAATACTTCTAGTATGAAGGAAACAATCAAGTAAGTCATTACAATATTATCACACTAGGTTAAAAGTGAATGGAATGAAAACTGTCTTCATGCTGTAAAATAAAATAAAACACGCATATACTTGAATAAAGTAATCGCTTTCGATTCAGTGTGCCAAACTGAAAGGAACTGATATTGCACTAAGAGGAATACCAAATCTGTAAACGAGAGGTAGGCAGCCATGGGTGTAATTTCTATCAAACTATTGATGGCAATGTCTCGTTTTTAGACGTGATAGATAAATAAAAACCTTTCTCATCAATAAATCTGACTTTTAGTTGATTAGTGATTTGACGATGCCTCAAGTGATATCTCCACTCCGTTATAATTACTTTTTACACTTGAATTCCGTTACCACAATAACTAGATTGATTTTATTGTTACTGGAAAAAATTGGAAAAAATCCATTAAATTTTCTGTATGTCCGAAAAGGGTAATTTATTGTCGCAGATGCACGATAAATGACCAAGAAGTGCTACTTTACCTGCGTTAAAGGATTCTGCGTTAAGTTATGTCAAAGCCAAAACGTACCTTGTTTTTCTCCGTGGCGGAAAACCAACCAAAACATATGTTCAAAACTCAAATTGGATGTCAACTAGAGAACAGGTTACCATACTGAATCTTACATAGTTGTTCAAATTGGTCAGCTGAAATAAAAGCATCAGAACACAGCGAGAACATACGATATTTCTAAA